GGCTCGACTCAGCTGGTCGATCAGGCCAAGAAGCTCGGTAAGAAACACACACACACACACACACACTGATACACACACTCAGGCAAACAATCAGGACATTCTCTCCAAAAAGGCCTTGAGTTGATTTGACTGTTTGAATGAGTACTTCACTCATGTTCCACACACACACGTCAGTCGTCACGGTGTGTGAAGAGTGAGCAGCACATTTTTAGCAAATTGCCGTAAAATTGGCGATCACGGACAAATTGATAAATCGTGTTAACACTTGTTTTCTGACTGTGATCCAATCGATTCTTCAGTCTCTATTGCATATATATGGTCTAAGCTTAAATGTAGTACAGATACATAAAGACAAAACAAATCCAGAGGTTTTCAAACTGAGAGTTGAACAGATACTGTATGAGGAGAAAGGGCTGGCTTCATGCTGGTGTTCTGAAACAGCTGGATGTTATTATAATCTGTTCTGCTGATTTGGGCCTCGTATCAGCGCGATCAGCCGCAGCAGCTATGACACATTCATGCAGACAACTTGTTGCAATGTGCGGCAGAAGTGTCATTCCTTCTCTTAATCATAACTCAGTCAGATCTGAACAGACATGAAACACATGTTTTTAGATTCAGTGTCACTTTCACTTATTGTTGATCATTAGTTACATCCATAAATCTGCTGCAGAACCTGCCTGAGAATCATCATGTTGTGGTGGATGTCTGTACATCCGTGGGTACATTGATTACTTATAGTTAATTCAGTGTATTTCTAATGGTGCCAGTCTGTTAAAGTGACAGATTTAGGTTAAAGGACAAGGCTCAAGTTGTGTTTTGTTGAGAACTATCTTCTTAACCTGATTTTGTCTGGTTGTCTTTTTAAAAAATATTTTAGGTTTTACAGCTAAAATAGTCTCCAAAACATTTTTCTGTGCTTTGACATTCTGTATTAAATGTTTTTTTTTTTCTTTTAGCCATAGAGACCGGTGAAGTTTCAGGTTGTTCTAACGAATTCAAGAGCCTGATGTCGATGCCAACACCTGGAGCTCTGCAGCTGAAGAAGCACTTAGCACATGGCAGCCAATCAGGTACACAACCTGGAAATATCCCTGTGCTTTTGACTGCTGTCTGTGTTGCATTCAAGGTTCTTGCTGCAAAAAAAAAAAAAAACAATTTGATGAACCCGTTGTCCATCCTCAGTCTCCAAGGATCCGACTGGAGCTCCAGTTCAGTCCATCTCAGCCTCAGACCTGCTGAAGCAGCAGAAACAGAAGCAGCGGGAGCTTCTGGAGAGCCGTCGACGGAGGGCGGATGAGATCCAGAAAAGGGTGCTGCAGAACTCAGAAAGGGCCAGACCCGGGTCGTCATCCTTACCACCGAGCCGAGAGGGTCTGATGTCCCCGAAAGCAGCTTCCGAGGTCCCCAAATCCACCCAGAGCCCCGCGGCGCCACATACGCCCACCCTGGGCCGAGGCTTCTCAAAGGGCGAAGACATCCTGTTTTTTGAGAACAGCCCCCGTTCAGCTCCTCCTCCCAGCGCTCTCAGCCTATCAGCCGCCAAGATGGCTGCTCTGAAGAAGCTGAGAGCTAAAGGGGCAGGGCTGGAAAAAGAAGACCCCAACGCAGTGAAGAGGAAGAGGAACAACAGCAGTGAGATCAGCGTTCGGGTGGAGAAGAATCTGACCTCGCCCAATGGTACATGTACACACACACACACACACACACACACACACACACACACACACACACACACACACACACACACACACTTTTTTTTTGTATGTAGTGTTGATTTTTTTTTTTTTTTTTCATAAAATAAAATGAATAAATAACATAGCAGTTTACAAATAATCTATTTACTTTAATATATTTGCTTGCTTTCAGCAGTAATACACAGTAGGTGGGTTAAAATTCATGTTAAGATTTCATATGCTAATTTTTGTAGCAGCCAAATCAGCTGAACAAATCACGAGCTAGGTGTTTTATCTTGTATCTGATGTATCTGAATTCAACTCTTGAAATTTTCAATAACTCATTTCCCTGTTATTTTTCAGTGTTCACAAATTCAGAATGAAAAATTCAACATCAGTTCAGCGTCAGTCACATGACCAATGGAGCGTAACTTGATTGGCTGGACGTTGATTGAATTTGAGCAACTTGAATATGTAGGATTCAAATTGTGAACATTTAAAAAAATAACAGTAAAATCAGTTATTAAAAAATTTCAAGAGTTGAATTCAAATCACAAAGATACATAATTTCAATGCAAAAAAAGAAATTCACAGGCTGTCAAATTTCAAAATCTGGTGAGACAGATTTGTTTCCATGGCTCTTCCATTTATGCTGAACAACATTAACCAACATTCTACCCTCTGTTACACTAAATCCTACATGAAGTGAGTTACTAATTGTCCTTTAACTTACCTGTTGCAGGTGAGTCGTCCAATAATGAGGATGAGGAGCCAGCCCAGAAGAAGAAGCGAGATCAGCTCCAGTACATTCAGTCAGAGGAGTTCCAGAAGATCCTCAACGCCAAATCTCGTCACGGGGTCGCGCTACAGGCGGTAAGACCAGCGGCATCAAGCATCTATTCAAATGTGTTTTTCATAGCTCAGTTTGATGAGATCCGATTTCCCTCTGGTTTATTTTTTTTACTTTAGATCCATTTCTACATATTAAACATCATAAAGTGTGTGTGTGTGTGTGTGTGTGAATTAAAGAAGCTTGTATCTGGATCTTTCAGGCAGAGTACCAGCTGCAGGAACGCTACTTTGATGCTCTGGTGAAGAAGGAGCAGTTGGAGGAGAAGATGAAGGGCATCAGGGAGATGAAGTGTCGCGCCGTCACCTGCAGAAAGGTACTGAGCAGCTTAGATAAACAAATGTATGTGATGTTAATTTAAAAAAATAAATTAAATAATTTATCTTTTAAGCTGACGTTCGTATGTGAGTGTAATAATAAAGGAGAGCATGGTGGAAATGCTTGAGTGTCTCGAAAGTTTGAAAAGTAAGCTGTTTTTTTTCCCACGTTCCCTTGCTTCCAGTGTAGTTACACCTACTTTAAGCCGGCGGATCGCTGTGTGGAGGAGAATCATGATCTACGGTGGCACGACTCCGTCAAACGTTTCTTCAAATGTCCCTGTGGACAGAGAGCCATCGCTCTGGACAGACTGCCGCACAAACACTGCAGGTCAGACATGGAAACTTTGATATAATATGTGAGATTTATTCCAGACAGGAAGATGATAATGATGATTTTCTGCCTCTCTAATATCTAATGTTTTACCATTCCAGTAACTGTGGTCTGTTTAAATGGGAGCGTGACGGGATGCTGAAGGTAAAAAATTTCTTTCTGACTCTCTGAACGAAAAGAAAAAATATGTTTTATTGCTGTGAAAGAACAGGGCTGATGTTGTTGACGTTTTATTGCAGGAGAAAAAGGGACCAAAGATCGGTGGAGAGCTTCTCCTGCCTCGAGGAGAGGAGCAAGCCAAGTTCCTCAACAGCATGAATTGACAACACAAACTAGTTGTTAAGGGAATGTGTATTTAGATTTCTATGTCTACATCAATTATGTTTTTAAAGTCTGATGTTGTTGTGTTGATTATGGTGGTGCTTATGCTTTGAAATAAGCTGATTAAAGTGATACTTTTTGCGACGTTTCACGTGAAACGTTTCATATTTCTGTTCAGTTTGCCGCTGATAAAACACAAGAGAAGAAAAGCTGAACACAGATCCTGGTGCAGAGCAGAGGTGAGAGTAACTCACACATGATCAAGTCTCTGGTTTGTTTGCGGGCCGCTGCAGGTCTGCGGCATCCTAGTAGGTTGCCAGGTTTGTGGGAATGGCACTAGAAATCACCTAATCATGTTTCAAAAACGAAATGTCGCTTAATATCTAAAAAAAAATGCAAATGTTTAATTTAAAAAAAAAAAGTCAAATCCATTCGAGTCAAGTCTCAAGTCGTGAAACCAAGTCAAAGTCAAGTCAAGTCTTTTATCAGTGTTGGTCTTAACTCCTCCAATTTGTGACTCAAGTCCCCCACCTCTGGTGCAAATCTATGGAAGGTCTAAATATGTAGTGAAATGACATCAGTGTATAATGGTAAACATGTTCCTCAATTTAAAATAATGATATTAAATCTTTTTTTTTCATTGTTTATTTTGTGATTCAGGTAAGACAAACCGTTTCAACACGTGATACAAAGCAGATAAGAGACAGACTGAGTTTGAAAGAGTGTGATGGTCATCAGAGACACTGAAACCTCACGTTAAAGGTGTTTATTTGTCCTGCATTCAACCACTGACTGAAGGCAGCATTTTCATGCCTCTCCTGTTTGGCTTACTGAAAGGTACTCTGGGAAATGTAGGACCCAGTGAGGTATAAAGACTAGGCAGGTTGCTTATATAACAATGTGTTTCTTTATTGTATTAGTGTGAAGTTATTACAATCCAGCCTATAAGAAGCTAGATACTTACTGCTGATTATGTTTCATTAACAGGTAATTGGTTCATAGTGAGTGAACCAGTCTCCTGTATCAGGACACAAACCTCTAACATGTGTTGTCTCCATGTGTTGGCCCCATGACTGCTTAGGCCAGGTGGCTTTCACTCAAGTCTCTGAGCCAATCCACATGGCCTTAAACAGGAAAGGTCTGAAGTGGAATCACAGTATAAAGATAAAATAAGGTCTCTGCATATGATAGTGTGTGATCAGTAAGTATAGAGTGCCATGCCACATCATTTTGAGGGTTTCATTTGTGCTCATTATCCCGTTGCTGCTTCTTCTTTTTTTTCTCCTCCTCTCACTGCCTTCTCCGTCTCTTCTTTGCCCAGTTTGTGTCTAATATTTCCACTCTGGAATGTGGGATACATTTCAGCCTGACGACTTCTGCAGCTCACCTCATCTTCTCTTTTATTCCACTCTGCCTCCCTCCCTTTAAATACTCCAAATACCAGACAGGGCTCGCCGGAGTTAAAACACACACACTGGGAGTCAGGAAAAACTCATCTTTATTTGTCATTTTGACTTAAAGAAATGTCAGAAAGTCAGGTTCTTAGCAAATATAAAACTATAATCCCCCTCTGGTAAATCAAGTCAATTCTTTATATAAGAGGTTGAGTTATTGCTAATGTATCACACTGACATAAAGGACACTGTGTAGCTTCTATGTACATGTAAAAGGCAGTAAAAACAAGCATGCAAAATATATAACCTCCATTTAATATGATAAGGTTTAGCTAACAATACAAAGAGTTCACTTTGAATACACTTTACAGTTTGACATGGAGACACACATTGCACAGTTTAGGGTGTATAAAAATGAAGCGAAAGGAAAGAACTTTTTGTCTTGTAAATTGAAGTAGGAAAAATATGGCGATAACTGTAGCACTTGCTGTCAACATGTCAGGAATCACCTTTGGTAAAGGTGATGGCAGTGTCACCACTGCTCCATTGACGGAGTATGCTCAGTGGAACCAGTAGTAGCGAGGATAGAGGCCATCGTAGTTATACTCTCGCAGCTGCTCGTTTGTCTCCCTCGATCTCTCGTTTACCTCTGTGGATTAAACAAGAAAGAAGTTCAGTGAAAGCAGCTGTAAAGGGATGCCAACTTCCTGAAATGGGTATAAGGAATGTGTGTGTGGGGGGGTTTACATATACATATATTTTTCTCTTCCAATTCTAATTTTAGCCTCATTTATCCTAAATTATCCAATCAGATTTTTGGAATAGCTGCACTTGCTGTCTTGACTTGACCCTCCCAGAGCGAAAACTCGACAGAACATTGTGGGGACACTCCCAATTCTTAGGTAGCAAACTAACGAAAACAAATACACCCTTAATTATACGTTTGTACTCATCGTTTCAGTAAAATGAACTGAACAGTTGAATTGTGGAGAATTCATCTGTGCTAACTATGTGTAGTATGTCAATATTGACAAAAGTTTATGCCTTTATGTTGTAATGTGTGTTGATCTGCTGCTTCACACAAGCTTTAAACCGGTTGCCAGCGCCCAGGTGGGTCTTACGATCAGTAGCTACGTAGCAACAGCTAAACTTACAAATAGTTCCCTAAAAAAACCAGGAATAACCAAATCTTGCTAAGATATCCTTGTTGGTATTAGGGTTAATACTAGTGCTATAAATTGTTGGCATTTAGCAACCGTTAGCATACATGTAGCAACCTCCTGGTCCTAAATAAGATACTGGGAATTTCTTTTAGCTAATGATATCTCCCACTTGATGAAACCAACAGTAAGTTGGTTAGGCTTGCAGCAATGGTAATTATGTTGGAATAATGCATCTATGCATTTGAATAGTGATGTATTTTTGTTGTTCTCCTTGTGCTGACATGGAGTAAATGCAACAATCTGGAGATGTGAAAAAATAATCGTTATAAGTGACATTACGCTATTATGTAATGTGACCAATGAGCTAGCTGGTGGAGATCTTTTTGTTTTCCTATAATAAGTCACTGAACCAAATCTCCCAAAACACTGTGTACCTGACATGCAAAACCCAATCGCATCTTTATGGTTAGCAGTTCTTAGTTTAGAAACTGTCACTGCAACTATTTCACACTGGACAGACAACCACAGGGAAGATTGTCAGCTTGGGGTCAACCACAAATGAACACTTTGAATTGGTGTGGAGTCCCAGGCAATCTGCTGCGGTACGCGGGCTGGAGGCTGCAGAGGGGTTCATTTAAGATCCAAACTAGAACTCTGGCTTCTCTCCCTGTGTTCTTTCTCGAGCCCTCTCGTGACAACTGGCCTTTAAGTATATCTCAGGTTTTCCACAAGGATCAGCTTAGGACAGACCTCACAACATGATACAAAAAGTTGGCATTAATTCGTGTTAATTGATATACAGTCTCTATGCACCATCTTGGAGTGGAGTGATTTTGATGTATTTTGAATGTTAAATGTTGGTATTTTCAGCCCACTGTGGAAAGGGGGAAATGAGGGATTCACGGAGGATCATTTCTCCATTATAGGAACTTGTTTCTACTTTTGTTTCACCGCCATTTTGTTCCTTTTTAGAACCGAAAGCAGCTGCATCCATGTCTTACCGTCACGGTCCTCCTCGGCGTAGTTCTCGTACTCATTCCTCTGCTCCTCGTTGTACTCCCTCCTGTGCTCACTCGCTGCAATCTTTACCCTCTGCTCAGCTGTGGAGAGAAGAAGACAGGAACTTCATCTGTATTCACCCACTCACAATACTGACAGATGGAAGCAGAGGGAGACATTACTGTTTCCTCCTTAAACAACCTGATGTATCATCTGCTGTGTGATTTTGAGCAATGCTAGTGGCAGATTGACATTTGGCTTGAAGGCAATGCTGTGCTAAAGTACAGCCTCACAGAGCTGCTAGCACGGCTGCAGAGTCTTATTAACTATTGAATCACTGGATGACACCAGCGGGCCGAGCATTCAGTACTCATTACTATATTATTACATAAGTACTCAGTGCTCATGGGTCGGACCACACCTATCCTCGAACGTGGCCTTCATTTTGATGTCAACTGTCAAACATCTGTAAAATTTCATGACTGTATCTTGCACAACGGTGACGCAATCGCGGTGCTCAGAATCACCTCTGAGGTCGTAGCTGCTAGGTGTCTGCGCGCACAAGCACCTCATGTTTACACAATGATTAGAAATGCAAGAGCGTATACTGGTCTAGTGAGGTGTTGAAAACAAATACATATGGGTAACCCACACTACTTGCTGTAACATATTAGATATTTGTGTAAACACCTAACCCTCCCTCCTGTTCCCTCTCTGTACAAAAACAAACATCCCCACAGGTACAGGTACAGGGCAGCCACTGTACATATTAGACTTTACTACTCCGTCTGTGTTTTCCCCCTCACTTTAACATGAGTTACACCTGGCTTATAAATGTGGGGACTTTATGGAGGTACATTTACTTCAATATTATTTGTGTGAACAGGTCGATAAGCCGTGTGTAAATGTGTAATCTGTAAATATAAAACACTTTCCACGAATACAAAAAAAAAATGTTCTTGCAAATATAAAACAGATTTCCATTTCCAAATACACAAACAAATTCCACAAATAAAAAATGATCTGTGAATACATTCAATTCATTTACAAATAAATGAAATATCTTCCCAACATTTACAACTTTTAAACAGACATTTATGAATTAATTTTCTATTTGTGAAGCGAAAAAGCATTTGTGGAGCTCAGTTCTACGCTTTTGCACACACAGAGTTTTGAACCAAACTCTCCGCCCGTCTGAACCAAAAGTGACTCGTATCACTCGGCCACTTTTGGAAGACAACGCCATTTCAACTTTTCATACTAAGAGCACATAGTCTTCTATGTATTTATTGTTTTCCCAAAATAATTGTCCACAAGTAATGTGCACTACGTTGACGGTTGTAAGATTTGAAGTGGCAGGACCTGGTTAAGGTCTTTGATGGTATGGCTGTTGGTGTTGATGATTGTTTAGTTAAGAAATTATGTATTGCAGTTTTATTGTTCATTGCTAATATGTAGGCTAAGCTAACGTTAACTACTAAACCGGCACCTGTTCCCGTGGCAACAGAAAACATTCATGTTGCGGACTGTGGGAATGACAGCAGGGTGCTGGATTTTTTACACTGTGATGATGAAGATACATTGGAAACAGACCACATTCAACCTGTAGAGAGATAACCGGTGTCACTTCTTTACCACTGAGTTTATTGTAATCAGTCCATTCAAGACAAACGTTGAGACAAATTTACCTCTACAGAAATCCCATTCATAGTTTTAACACAGAGTCAGTTTGGGTTTCATGAACGTTTCTGGATCTTTCCAGATTTGTACGTTTGTGTGGGCGTGGCGAAATGTTCGCAGTTAAAGTGAGTGACATCACACAGAGCGGGGAGAAGCTGTTCAACTGCTCTGAGAGATTTCTGTTGAACTCCTCCGCACAGGTTGTTATAAAAAAAACCGACAGTATAATAAGACATGGGGATTTCTCACAGCCATTGCCTGGCGCCTCGGGGAGTCTTTTGATGTTCACATTTTGTACATTAACGGTGTATTGGTTTGATAAAACTCCAAAAAAGGAATGCCATGTATATTCTTTTACTTTACTTTAACCAAATTATGTCAAGAGTGATGCACACATTTGTACATATGTTGAATTAAACACAGGAACAGCATCCTGCTAATTGGGCCACAAATGTGCTGACCAAGTCTACCTTCTCCAGGCCTACTGGCATTTGGGGGGGGGGCGTGGCTAGAGGCGGGGCTTCAGCCCTCTGTCCAGAGTTCATGCACAGTTCACAGCTCTCTGCCTAGGGAGCAGATTGGAGTAAAATACACAAGTCATAAAAACATCATAGTTTAGTTAGGCATGAAAAGCCATTTTATAGTAAGTCATAAAAAAGTCATAGTATACTAAGGTGTCACAGTCCCGCTGTGTCTCCCAGTGTTTTTTCTCCTTTCCTGTTTGTCTCCCCTCCCCTGTGTGTGTGTGTGTGTGTCTGGGTGCTCCTGCTGACATTAGGTGACTCAGCGGAGGCGTGGTCTGGACAGCATCTTACCACCACACCTGCAATCTATCACTCATCATCTGCAGTATATCTACCGCGGTCATCCATCCATTCGTGGCCACAGTGTTCCGCTCTTCACTGTGGTAGTTACTCTCCCCGCCGCTCTGATTAGTTTGTGTGACTACAGGGTTACCTAGTGTTTCAGTGATCTCCCCAGTGTTTTTGCCTGTATTACCTCTTTGTTCTCCTGTGCTTCAGAAGACTTCCTGATTTGTGTGCTGCTGATCCTGCTGCACTCTGCTGCCACACCACACCACACCACCCACCTGCCTCCAGTCGTCCCTCGTGTTTCAAGAGTGTGTTCACTCACCTGCCCCTGGTCTCAAGTGTCTTCCATACTCCTGCTTTGTGTACTCACTAGACCCCTGGATTCCTCGGACCCACTCCCCCTCTACATTCACCGTCACTATTGACTTTTCCCCAATAAACTTCCTTGCACTGTTATTGCTGAAGTGTTTTGTGTTCTGTCTCTATTCTGAGGTCCAATGCCCGTTCTGACATAAAAAGTAACAATAAAGCATAAAAAATCATAGTATATTAAGGCATAAAAAAGTCATATTATAGTAAGGTATAAAAACGTCATAGTATAGTAAGGCATAAAGTTATACTATCGTAAGGCATAAAAAGTCATGGTATAGTAAGTCATGAAAAAACGCCATAGTATAGAAAGGCATAAAAATGTCATAGTGTCATAGAGACAGAAAAATGTAATAGTGTAGTAAGGTATAAAGAGTCATAGTATAGTAAGGTAATACAAATGCTTTTTCGCTTCACAAATAGAAAATTGATTCACAAATGTCTGTTTGAAAGTTGTAAATGTTGGGAAGATATTCACAAATGCTTTTCATTTATTTGTAAATTAATTGAATGTATTCACAGATCATTCTTTACTTGTGGAATGTGTTTGTGTATTTGGAAAAGGAAATCTGTTTTCTATTTGCAAGAAATGTTTTGGAATTGGCAAATTTATTTTTTGTAAATGTGGAAGGTGTTTTAAATTTACAGATTACACATTTACACACGGATTGTTGCTCTGTTCACACAAATAATACTGAAACAAATTTACCTCCATAGGATTACATCACCACATATCATGTAAACACACAGACCATCTACTCTGCAAACTCATCTTCCCTCCAAACAGGCCAATGATTTGTAGCTTAGTTGTACTGTAGGAAACATGGCTCACATGCACCTTCACACCAGCTTCTTGTGTAAAAATGACCTGTCTGTTAACAAGTATTCGTTCTGCCTCTGCCACTATTTTCAAGTAATAGCTCCTTCTCTTGTCTCCACGTGTCGGCGCGTTCTCTTTTTGGCGGAGTCGGTTGGTCGTTCTCAACGTCTGCTGCATAGATTGCCAAAATTTTGTGCACACATTAATGGATGTAGTATCAGGTGTGGCGATCCCCTGCTTTGCAATGCAACAAAAGATATACTGGATGCAATATTGCATCTATCTGATTTGTATGTTGTCTTTTAAATAATGGTGTGTAATGGGGGGATTTCTCTTAGTCAATAATGCACTTTTGTATCTTAAGCTGAGAGTAAATTGCTCCTTACATTCCAGTCTTAGCGACCTGCTCATCGCTTTTCTTGTAAAAACAAAAGAAAAAGAAAAAAAAAGTCCTTTACACAGACTCATGAAGCTCACATTCTCATGGACTGCACTGGCAAGGGACAAAATAGACTTCCAGGAATGCGTGTGTGTTTTTACAAAGCCAAGACAACGTTTGGTACTCTGATGGGTGGGCAAGGTGAAATTGCCCACAGCCTCTCTCTGGAGGTCTGCTCTGGGGCACACATGTGCTTCTCTGAGGGGTTTTCCAATAGAAAAGAGAGAAATTGAGACACATACTTGAGTGAAATGATGGAAATCATTGTCGGCAGCTGAATATTGGCAAGTTTGTCCATTTCCATGCTTTCATCTCAGCTAAATGGGCGTATGAATCTGTTTTTAGTTGCTGATTTAGAGATATTTCTGATGATAATTTCCTTTGTGTTTGCAAGTTTTGTCCTGAAACACCTCTCATCTCGGTGTTTAATCTTTTTGGATTGAAGTGTGTTGGCGATGTGCATCGTACTGATGGCTGGCAGTGGAATAATGAGCTTATTGTGCTGAGAAACTGAGAGAGTCTGCTCCATACTACCCTGTGACTCCTTCTGCTGCCTCCAGCTCCTGTGTGTGTGTCTGTGTGTGTGTCTGTGTGTGTGTGTGTGTGTGTGTGTGTGTAAGAGCTGCTACTGTATAGAACAACACCTGCTTGAGTTTCCACTGCTCTGCCTCTGTTTCTCTCTTTAACTTTCACAGCTTTCAGTCAAAACCTCAAACTATATCATCTTCAGAATTTAACTAGACACCAATAAACCGGCCAACACTCCCCCACAAGCTCACACACACACACACACACAAGTTTGTACGGGAGGCCAAACATGCCGTATTTAAGACCGTCCGCAGTGTGGCCACATCAACCACTCGAGCAAATCAACCGCGCGTAACACCAAACGTAAATAAATACAGCTGTCCGCCCCCGTCCTCTAACCACAAACCAAACATTTCACTCAAAGTCCTGTTGGTTTTTCTGTCGGCGAGGTGACAGACGGGTCCTCCCTCCCTGAGATGAAAAAGTGTCAGAGAAGAAATCCCCGCTTGAATTAATCTTGGCGGTCAGGTGCAAACTCGCTTTCAAAATCACGTCTTCCACCGTTTTACAAAAATGACATCCACTCTCGATGTTGAACGTTAGCATGAAAACACACAGGTCACCTTCCAGCTGTTGCAGACTTTGCCAGCAGAACTTGAACAAAGATGGAAAAGTACTTATTGGAACGTACCTACGAGCTCATAGTATCGGGTCGAGCGGCGAGTGCGGCGTCTGAAGAAGTTGGAGGCGTCCGACCCACGCATGAACACCTGTCGCGCCGTACCTGAGGGTCAGAGGTCAGAAGTTCAAGGTCACATACGGAGGACATGCGAAGCAATGTGTTGGACAGTGTTGGACAGGCGTCACCTCTAGGATTGGCTGGTTTTGTGCCGTCGTCGTCGTTGTCGTCGTTGTCGTCGTCGTCGTCGTCCCGTACTGCTGCGTTTTCCACCACACGGGAAACTGAGGGCAAAAGGAGAAACTATTATATAACCTTTTTATAGTGAAGCATCCTTTTGTCTTTATATTATACTGATGAGACCAATCTTACACAAAAACCCTGGGTATCTAATGTACGATCCCAACTGCTCATACACTAGATCATGAAATTTTCTAAATTAAGCCAAGTAAAATTTTGTATCTACGAAAAAAAGAAATAAAAAACAACACATGAAAATGACAACTCAGATTTTCACAGGAGTCGGATTACTGGGGAACTTCACCAGTGTATGGAAGGTTATCTGAGCCTCAACGGTTCCTTTATAAATTATTAATGTGGCAGAAAGAAAACAGGATCAAAATAGTCACAACTGTAATTATCCACAATTATCCAAAATCACAGGATGTGTAGTCTTGCAAAGCCATCATCCAAATTTGACTTTATTCGCTGTGGTAGAAGGGTTCAGTACCAATCTTCTGACAATTAATCTTCACATTGAATAAATCAGCAGCTTTTTAGCAGTGGAGCTTGAACAGGCAACCGACCAAACTGAACAGAACCAGAGCTGAACGTAACTTCACTTAGAAAAAACTTCAAGAAACATGTCCGAGTCAAATTTACTTTCATTACCTGCCAGACTCACCTTTGAAAACACTATTTAAAAATTTGATTCATATATAAAATTCATATATAAATCATACATGTAATGCACCAATCATCACTTGTTTTGAGATTGGGATCAACAAATTCACTATTATTATAATTAAATGAACTCTGACATGAAAAGGTCTATAGTCAGCTTCAAGTCAGAAAGTGCCTCCAGCTTAATAAATGTCAGTGCTCATCTCCCCTGAGGATGCATAACCCCAAAATACCCTTCCTCCCCCATAAACTCCCCCCCACCCCCCCACCCACACATGATACTCACAGGTGAGGATGAGGAGGGTGGTGAGGAGAGAGAGGACAAAGACTCGAGTCCAGGACATCTTGAAAAGACCAAGGCAAGAACTGTACTGGATTTAACAGCACACCTAACTCAACTGAGAGAGGAGAGAGAGATGAGGGGAGGGAAGGGAAGGGAAGGGAAGGGAGGAAGGGAGTGGGAGGAGAAAGAGGGGGAGAAAGTTTCAGGGAGGGAGGGAAGCTGCTGGAATTTCAATTCCCCAAGAGATGAGAAGAAGAAGAAGAAGAAGAAGAAGAAGAAGAGAGGAAGGAAGAAAGGGAGGAATGATGGTGAATCAAAAGAAGAGGGCAGTTGAATGGAAACCAGGGTTTGGTAATAAATGAAAGGAGAGAACTCTGTGCCCCTGGACAAAGGGAGGCCCAAATGAACCCAGGACAAAAAGATACAGCAAATGGTTTTAAAAATGAATAAATGACCAATATTTGTGGGACAGATAATTAAAAACAATGAGCTGAAAGACAATAAATTGCTTCATTAGTGATATTTCTCTGCGGGTTTGTCATTACAATTGACCTCTTTCACAAATCTGAGACAATATAAATATAAAAGTATTAGTGGGGCGGGTAGGCAAAACAATTGTGCATTTTATGACCAAAGCATGAAAGTTTCAGCAAATGATCTACGTACTCCAAGGTTTCATTTCAGAAAATGAGGCAATTTGTATCTGACCTCTGGTGACCCTGAGAGGTCATTGACCTCCACATTGCATTCTTCCAGTTTTTGCCCCATCTCTCCATTATAATCATGTATATCTTTGCCAAAATTGCATAAAGATGCATATTTACTGTTACGGCCTTGTAACATAATTTTGCCTTGAGCACCAATTTTGCAGGGGGACTGCAGACCTCACCATTTCCAGGTGTTAAGGTAGCTATAGTTTGTTGAAAACACTGACAACTTCTGCTGTGTCTTCTATGAAATTACACGACCAGCTAGCACATTAGTGAACATTCTAATCCGAAGCTAGCATGCTCGTTTGGTCTGGACCACACTCATTACTCCAGGGGGCTCTGCCCCGTCCCAGAGGTCACATCTGGAATGCCTCCACGTCTAAATATGAACTTTATGCTTTATTGAAACACTGGAGAAAGTTTCATGCTTTAGTCATAATGCACAATACTTTCCACATACAGTACAAGCTTATCTACTGCACTATATTATTTACAGCAGCTTTAAATATGCAGAAATTTAAATGAATTATATCCAACTAACCGTTTCTAGATTTGAATAGGATTTTCACAGAGAGTTAAGAAGCGATCTGCCTGAGGAAAGTATCGTAACTACGGCGTTCTGTTTCTGTTTCTAATTCTCAGAGACAAAAGGGAGTCAGGATGGAATAAAGACCTGAGGAAACGGGAGGCTGTCTGCTGCTGCTGCAACTCATTAAGTAGTCACACCAGCAGACAGAGCCACAAGCTGCAGTTTCCTGCAAGTTGTTTTTAAAGAGAGAGGGGTAAAAAAAAAAAAAAAAAAAACTCGTTTCAAGCTTGTTTCATCTGAGGCCAAGTCAGTATCAGATGAAGCACTTTCCTGAAGATTTTTCAAAATCATTTAAAAATCTTATTCAACTTGTCTGGTATCTGTGGATGAGCTGACACAAAGGAGGACACGTCTCTCACCAGCAGCCAGGTATCAAACACTCAGCCTGGAAGTCAGTGGCCATTTTTTTTCTGTAGGTGGAAGAGGTTCCCAGTTTGGGTTGTTTGTGTGTGTGTGTGTGTGTGTGTGTGTGTGTGTGTGTGTATTTCCATTGCATCACAGGTTAAATTTGAGTTTGCTGGTCAAAGTTCACTAAACTTAAACTGGGATATGGTGAGGTAAATCGGTCAGTTTACAATTTGAACACCCCTGATTCCCTCAAAGGAAAATATGATGACATAGTGTACAGGTATAACATTATAGGAATAAATACTGCAAAATAATCCCACATTATAACAGCATTTAATAACAGATATTAACAGACCTGTTTTATATCTTTTATTGGCTGTATCCATCGTGCATTGTTGTGTTTCTACATGAGTGATGTGTGTTTCCCTCTCAGGCAGGTGGTAACATCACGTTCCTGTACTGGACCCATTCATTATCGTTCCAGGTATGAGTGATCTCAGGGTTCAGCGTGCATACCTCACTGCACTAACCTGTGTTTAATGCTGCATTGTGCTGCTGAACTGAATGTGTTGGGAGATGCAGGCTACTGTGGATTTTTTTTTTTTCTCCTTTGACTACAGTATGTGTGATGTAGTTAAATCAGCTTCCTGTAATGGAAACTGGGCAGAGACGACGGGCTACTTTATTCAGAGAGACGACAACAAGATCTGGAATCTGGGAAACATTTAGCTGTAAATGAGCCCGAGTGTGTGTGTGTGTGTGTGTGTGTGTGTGTGTGTGAGAGAGAAACTATTTACTGTGTGTGCATTTGTACATTCATGTGAACATGCATATGTGTTTTTTCATATATTTTTCAGTGCTTGCTTTGTTTCGCCATATAAGCTTATTTGGTGTTGGTTCATATGTGTGTCAGTTTTTAAATGTGCTCCTCTGTGTATTTGTGTGTCAAATAGTGTGTGCACTAAGCATGTGTTATCTGTGTGTGTGAGGCAGTTTAGCACTATCCCCCCTTGCGGTGCTGACTGTGACCAAGCCTCCATGTTTCATCTGTCCTGCATGGGAATGAATTTCCTGCATTTCTGAATTAAACTAAGATGCTGAGATTTTCCCTCTGGGTTTTGAACAAAGACACTGTTTAAAAACAGCCACACACACACACACACACACGGTTAGCTCTGTTGGATCAGGTGTTTTTTGTGGGGAGCCAGGAAATAGCTGGGCCTCCATCTGAAAGCAGCTGCACTCTCTGACACCAACATGTGGCTGTTACTGTTCAAATGTCATTTACTGTTGAGCAACTTTCTCTGATTTTGTGTCTGATTGTAACATGTCTTCATGTAACAGGAATTCTAAAAAAAAATATATTTATAACATACATGTGGCCCTAATCCTCTTCCACAATTCAGTTACAGGTCAAAGGGTCAGATGTGTCCGAAGCTTTATTTTAAATTAAAACAAAGTCTCAAATCATTTTCATTATTAGTCTTATTGAAACATTCTATTTATCAAGATCCTAAAAAACAAGATTAAAATCCATTCACTCATTATCAAACAGTCATCGATCAACAAACAGAAAATCAACACAGTGATACATTTATAAGGCAGTGTAGGCGTAGATTAAGAGCTAAGGTCAGCCTGGATTATTTATACATTTCTAAATATAGTTTCTATTAAAGTCTCTTGCTCCTTTATCTTAAATGTCACTCCATCTCTCTCTCTCTCTTTCACTGTATAATTCTCATTGCTTCTAATTAACATGCAAAATGTCTTTTTCAGGCTTGTCTTTCCCTTTCCATTAAGGGTTTGGTTAATTAAATAGCTTGATCTGCTTCATTTTGTGCTGTAAAACAAAATGTCACGTGCTTTACTCTCCAAAAGAGATTTGTTTATGAGGTAAATGATATTTCCCAGTCTTCATGTTCTCTGTTAGTTCGCTGTCTGTACATCACAGTTCCAACACAAATGTGCCAACTATTATGAGCATGATTAGAGTAAGTAATCTGAACATTACATTCCTCCTCAGATGTACCATAAGAAAAATTAGCTTAACAGGAAGCCTTGAGCACTGTCAGTGTCAGTGTGACAGGGCCCTGTTACTTCTTATCCAATCACAATCATTATATTAATCTGTTCTCCTCTCAGCTCAGTGATCGGTCACCCTGTAGTCATGTGCTGGTCTGTAGCGTCCTCACAGTGAAACCCTCTCTCCCTGCACCAGACGGCCTCGGACAGCCCAGGTATCCTGTAGGGGAGGAGTCAAAGGTTCAGTTCAACGAAATAACAAAAAACAAACAAAAAAAACTAAACAAAAATCAAACTTGTTTCTTTTGTTTGCAGTAGCCAATCACTAACTTTTTGTTTATGCATATGCTCATTTTAACAAAACCTTTTCCACACAGATTTTTTCCTTAAAGAGGTCCTTGAAATTTCCTATTTCAATTCCATAAAGTCGGGGGACTTTTAAGAGACAATGTTGTCTTTTTTTTAAAATGGTCACTATCCTGACTCTAGTGTCTAGTGTGGGTGTAGTTAAAAAAAAAACAAAACACCTACATTACCCATAATTCTTCCAAATACTGCCCTTTCATTAGATCATCATCAGGGTTATTTTTTCAAACTTTGAAAAGTTTCCTTCAGAGCCACTGAAGATATAAATATAAAGTGTTTTCACAGTCATTTCTTGTGAAGAGTAAACTGAACTTTGTTTGATCTAATTTATTTGTTTAATTTAATGCTCACAAGTGTTTCAGTGAAGGGTTTTGTTGATGCAACAATAACTTCCATGAGCTGATCCACCGTCAATGGTTAAGAGTTAATTGTGTCAATTAAATCAATTTCATCATATAATTGGATTTACTAAACCGCAGTTTGAAGTTATATTTGTCACATGCCAAGGTACAATGTATAGTAAGCAAAGCGGCGAAATGAGGATTGGACTACGCGGTAGAGCAGACTGTGCAAAATTACTGTGATTGTATCGAATATTGGCCCATTGCTTTTTATAGCATATCGACAACTCTGACATGTTTCCTCTGCAGAGTGATGGGCTCCAAGCTCCTGAATACAGACGCTTGTTGCTTTGCAATGGTTGACTGCAAAGTAAACGTAGCTCATCACAGACATATAATGGGGGATTTTAATGTACTCAAACAATAGTAAGACATCATCTAGTGACGTTGCTATTGCTACCAGACTTTAATTATAACATGTTTCTGTAATACTATCATTTTATAAACAGTTTCTCTGGTTAGTGGTCTACATAAAAAACATCATGCTCAGAGTCCCTTCGTGTGTTCACGTGCTCTGGCTTTGTAGGCTCAAGTTAGTTATCACTGTTCTCTCATTGCACTAAGCTTTAAAGTGTATACTTGCATGGACAGGCAAATTTAGAAGTTACAAGCCAAATGACAACAATATACACACAACACTTTCAAGCCTTTTGCAGGTT